TGAGCCTGTGGACAGACTCTTGAGTCTGTGGACAACTTCTTGAGCCTGTGGACAGACTTCTTGAGACCTGTGGGACAGACTTCTTGAGCCTGTGGACAGACTTCTTGAGCCTGTGGACAGACTTCATTGAGCCTGTGACAGACTTCTTGAGCCTGTGGACAGACTTCTTGAGCCTGTGGAACAGACTTCTTGAGCCTGTGGACAGACTTCTTGAGCCTGTGGACAGACTTCTTGAGCCTGTGACAGACTTCTTGAGCCTGTGAACAGACTTCTTGAGCTGTGAACAGACTTCTTGAGCCTGTGAACAGACTTCTTGAGCTGTGAACAGACTTCTTGAGCCTGTGGACAGACTTCTTGAGCCTGTGACAGACTTCTTGAGCTGTGGACAGACTCTTGAGCTGTGGACAGACTTCCTTGCAGCCTGTGAACGACTTCTTACGTGAACAGACTTCTGAGCCTGTGAAACAGACTTCATTGAGCTGTGACAGACTTCTTGAGCCTGTGAACAGACTTCTTCACTAGGAAAATGTCACAGACGCGTTACTGTAAATTCTCTACAATGTTTGTGCTTACGAATCTGTGCGGCTTGTAATAATTCATATCAGAGTAGTTGCAGCTTTTTGCCGTGTATCGCTTCACTTCTGACATATCTATGTCTGACGTCAATTATTTACCAGAACACGGGTTATAGTTCTCGCAGGGCTGTTAAGCTGCACCAATAGCTCTCGGTCCGCTTGATTCGTGCCTATTCACATTCAGTGTCTCTCGGCACGACATCAAAAAAAAAGCATATTATCTGAAAGTTCACCAACAGTCAATAATACTCTTAATCCCAATACGGATTAGTAGTACTCTCAGCGTTATCAAAGTGGTAGATAACTTTGATGTATATTTATTGCTTTGAATAATTCACTATGTCGGAGGTTGATGACCTCGGTCACAACCTAATTAAGGACTACTAAAGTCACAGTCAAGTATTACCTAGGGAAATCAACTGGTATATCTCTGTGTTAAGGTGTGTGTCTAGGGTCACACAATTGAAGGCTGTAGGGTCACAAGTCGAGGTAGTTCTGGGGTCACACGTCAAGGTAGTGTGGGGTCACACAACAGTCCTGCGTATTCCACGACCCAGCATAGTAGTTTCAGTGTCAACAGTGTTGAAGTTAGTCTCTGCATGGTCCAGTCAAGTAGTCTCTCAGTCACAGTTCCATAGTCGTCTCAGAGACAGTCAAGTAGTCTCTCAGGTCAAAGTCAAGTATCTAGGACACATTGTCAGTTCAGCCTCAGTCACAGTCAAGTAGTCTCTCAGGTCACAGTCAAGTAGTCTCTCAGGTCACAGTCAAGTAGTCTCTCAGGTCAACAGTCAAGTAGTCTCTCAGGTCACAGTCAAGTAGTCTCTCAGGTCACAGTCAAGTAGTCTCTCAGGTCACAGTCAAGTAGTCTCTCAGGTCACAGTCAAGTAGTCTCTCAGGTCACAGTCAAGTAGTCTCTCAGGTCACAGTCAAGTAGTCTCTCAGGTCACAGTCAAGTAGTCTCTCAGGCACAGTCAAGTAGTCTCTCAGGTCACAGTCAAGTAGTCTCTCAGGTCACAGTCAAGTAGTCTCTCAGGTCACAGTCAAGTAGTCTCTCAGGACACAGTCAAGTAGTCTCTCAGGACACAGTCAAGTAGTTCTCAGGCACAGTCAAGTAGTCTCTCAGGTCACAGTCAAGTAGTCTCTCAGGTCACAGTCAAGTAGTCTCTCAGGCAGTATATCTCTCAGTCACAGTCAAGTAGTCTCTCAGGACACAGTCAAGTAGTCTCTCAGGACACAGTCAAGTAGTCTCAGGACACAGTCAAGTAGTCTCTCAGGACACAGTCAAGTAGTCTCTCAGGACACAGTCAAGTAGTCTCTCAGGACACAGTCAAGTAGTCTCTCAGGACACAGTCAAGTAGTCTCTCAGGACACAGTCAAGTAGTCTCTCAGGACACAGTCAAGTAGTCTCTCAGGACACAGTCAAGTAGTCTCTCAGGACACAGTCAAGTAGTCTCTCAGGACACAGTCAAGTAGTCTCTCAGGACACAGTCAAGTAGTCTCTCAGGACACAGTCAAGTAGTCTCTCAGGACACAGTCAAGTAGTCTCAGGACACAGTCAAGTAGTCTCTCAGGACACAGTCAAGTAGTCTCTCAGGACACAGTCAAGTAGTCTCTCAGGACACAGTCAAGTAGTCTCTCAGGACACAGTCAAGTAGTCTCTCAGGACACAGTCAAGTAGTCTCTCAGGACACAGTCAAGTAGTCTCTCAGGACACAGTCAAGTAGTCTCTCAGGACACAGTCAAGTAGTCTCTCAGGACACAGTCAAGTAGTCTCGTCAGGACACTCAGTCAAGTATCTCTCAGGACACAGTCAAGTAGTCTCTCAGGACACAGTCAAGTAGTCTCTCAGGACACAGTCAAGTAGTCTCTCAGGACACAGTCAAGTAGTCTCTCAGGACACAGTCAAGTAGTCTCTCAGGACACAGTCAAGTAGTCTCTCAGGACACAGTCAAGTAGTCTCTCAGGACACAGTCAAGTAGTCTCTCAGGACACAGTCAAGTAGTCTCTCAGGACACAGTCAAGTAGTCTCTCAGGACACAGTCAAGTAGTCTCTCAGGACACAGTCAAGTAGTCTCTCAGGACACAGTCAAGTAGTCTCTCAGGACACAGTCAAGTAGTCTCTCAGGACACAGTCAAGTAGTCTCTCAGGACACAGTCAAGTAGTCTCTCAGGACACAGTCAAGTAGTCTCTCAGGACACAGTCAAGTAGTCTCTCAGGACACAGTCAAGTAGTCTCTCAGGACACAGTCAAGTAGTCTCTCAGGACACAGTCAAGTAGTCTCTCAGGACACAGTCAAGTAGTCTCTCAGGACACAGTCAAGTAGTCTCTCAGGACACAGTCAAGTAGTCTCAGGTCACAGTCAAGTAGTCTCTCAGGACACAGTCAAGTAGTCTCTCAGGACACAGTCAAGTAGTCTCTCAGGTCACAGTCAAGTAGTCTCTCAGGACACAGTCAAGTAGTCTCTCAGGACACAGTCAAGTAGTCTCTCAGGACACAGTCAAGTAGTCTCAGGACACAGTCAAGTAGTCTCTCAGGACACAGTCAAGTAGTCTCTCAGGACACAGTCAAGTAGTCTCTCAGGACACAGTCAAGTAGTCTCAGGACACAGTCAAGTAGTCTCTCAGGACACAGTCAAGTAGTCTCTCAGGACACAGTCAAGTAGTCTCCAGGACACAGTCAAGTAGTCTCTCAGGACACAGTCAAGTAGTCTCTCAGGACACAGTCAAGTAGTCTCAGGACACAGTCAAGTAGTCTCTCAGGACACAGTCAAGTAGTCTCTCAGGACACAGTCAAGTAGTCTCTCAGGACACAGTCAAGTAGTCTCTCAGGACACAGTCAAGTAGTCTTCAGGTCACAGTCAAGTAGTCTCTCAGGACACAGTCAAGTAGTCTCTCAGGACACAGTCAAGTAGTCTCTCAGGACACAGTCAAGTAGTCTCTCAGGACACAGTCAAGTAGTCTCAGGTCACAGTCAAGTAGTCTCTCAGGACACAGTCAAGTAGTCTCTCAGGACACAGTCAAGTAGTCCTCAGGACACAGTCAAGTAGTCTCTCAGGACACAGTCAAGTAGTCTCTCAGGACACAGTCAAGTAGTCTCTCAGGACACAGTCAAGTAGTCTCAGGTCACAGTCAAGTAGTCTCTCAGGACACAGTCAAGTAGTCTCTCAGGACACAGTCAAGTAGTCTCTCAGGACACAGTCAAGTAGTCTCTCAGGACACAGTCAAGTAGTCTCTCAGGACACAGTCAAGTAGTCTCAGGACACGTCAAGTAGTCTCAGGACACAGTCAAGTAGTCTCTCAGGACACAGTCAAGTAGTCTCTCAGGACACAGTCAAGTAGTCTCTCAGGACACAGTCAAGTAGTCTCAGGACACAGTCAAGTAGTCTCTCAGGACACAGTCAAGTAGTCTCAGGACACAGTCAAGTAGTCTCAGGACACAGTCAAGTAGTCTCTCAGGACACAGTCAAGTAGTCTCTCAGGACACAGTCAAGTAGTCTCAGGACACAGTCAAGTAGTCTCAGGACACAGTCAAGTAGTCTCAGGACACGTCAATTGTCTCAGGACACAGTCAAGTAGTCTCAGGACACAGTCAAGTAGTCTCTCAGGACACAGTCAAGTAGTCTCTCAGGACACAGTCAAGTAGTCTCAGGACACAGTCAAGTAGTCTCAGGACACAGTCAAGTAGTCTCAGGACACAGTCAAGTAGTCTCAGGACACAGTCAAGTAGTCTCAGGACACAGTCAAGTAGTCTCAGGACACAGTCAAGTAGTCTCAGGACACAGTCAAGTAGTCTCTCAGGACACAGTCAAGTAGTCTCTCAGGACACAGTCAAGTAGTCTCTCAGGACACAGTCAAGTAGTCTCAGGACACAGTCAAGTAGTCTCAGGACACAGTCAAGTAGTCTCTCAGGACACAGTCAAGTAGTCTCAGGACACAGTCAAGTAGTCTCAGGACACAGTCAAGTAGTCTCTCAGGACACAGTCAAGTAGTCTCAGGACACAGTCAAGTAGTCTCAGGACACAGTCAAGTAGTCTCAGGACACAGTCAAGTAGTCTCAGGACACATAAACATGTGGAAGAATAAGTACTTGTGTGCAACATTTGGGCATCCAGTGGACTGACTCCAGGAGAAGATTTCGGAGGTCAACGCCCCCGCGGCCCGATCTGTAACCAGACCAGAATATTATTATAATCATAACTGAGCCCTAAACCCAATGGAATGAATAAAATTTGATAAGGCGCATTTGCAACACTTGGCTATTTTTATTCCCCAGTATCAAGATAACTAAATGTTGCAAGTCTATCTTATTTATCAACATGTTGCTATTGTTTGCTATCAAATTTACGAATAGAATTGTTTGTCTGACCTTTGTTTTGTGTCGTTATGTTTATGTTGATTTTGATAGTTGTCGTTTTTATTTTAAAGGTGAAACCGCGTTTGAGAAGCTTACTGAGCTGGACTACCGAGGCTCCACCTACTACACTATCAGGAACCTGTCGCTGTGGGAGTGTCAGGGATGGTGCCGTGAGGAGCCAGAGTGCGCAGCTGCCTCGTTCAGGTAAGCCGCAGCTGCAGTTGTAGTAGTAGATGTAGTAACTGCAGCAGTAGCTCCAGCAGCAACTGCAGCCATTGCCCCAGGCAGTAACAGCAGTAGCAACATCACTACAGACAGTAACAGCAGTAGCAACATCACTACAGGCAGTAACAGCAGTAGCAACATCAGTACGGGCAGTAACAGCAGTAGCAACATCAGTACAGTCAGTAACAGCAGTAACAACATCACTACAGGCAGTAACAGCAGTAGCAACATCAGTACAGGCAGTAACAGCAGTAGCAACATCAGTACAGTCAGTAACAGCAGTAGCAACATCAGTACAGTCAGTAACAGCAGTAACAACATCACTACAGTCAGTAACAGCAGTAACAACATCACTACAGTCAGTAACAGCAGTAACAACATCAGTACAGTCAGTAACAGCAGTAACAACATCACTACAGTCAGTAACAGCAGTAACAACATCAGTACAGTCAGTAACAGCAGTAACAACATCACTACAGGCAGTAACAGCAGTAGCAACATCACTACAGTCAGTAACAGCAGTAACAACATCACTACAGGCAGTAACAGCAGTAACAACATCACTACAGTCAGTAACAGCAGTAACAACATCACTACAGTCAGTAACAGCAGTAACAACATCAGTACAGTCAGTAACAGCAGTAACAACATCACTACAGTCATAACAGCAGAACAACATCAGTACAGTCAGTAACAGCAGTAACAACATCACTACAGTCAGTAACAGCAGTAACAACATCAGTACAGTCAGTAACAGCAGTAACAACATCACTACAGTCAGTAACAGCAGTAACAACATCAGTACAGTCAGTAACAGCAGTAACAACATCACTACAGTCAGTAACAGCAGTAACAACATCACTACAGTCAGTAACAGCAGTAACAACATTACTACAGTCAGTAACAGCAGTAACAACATCACTACAGGCAGTAACAGCAGTAGCAACATCACTACAGGCAGTAACAGCAGTAACAACATCACTACAGTCAGTAACAGCAGTAACAACATCAGTACAGTCAGTAACAGCAGTAACAACATCACTACAGTCAGTAACAGCAGTAGCAACATCAGTACAGGCAGTAACAGCAGTAACAACATCACTACAGGCAGTAACAGCAGTAGCAACATCACTACAGGCAGTAACAGCAGTAACAACATCACTACAGTCAGTAACAGCAGTAACAACATCAGTACAGTCAGTAACAGCAGTAACAACATCAGTACAGTCAGTAACAGCAGTAACAACATCAGTACAGTCAGTAACAGCAGTAACAACATCAGTACAGGCAGTAACAGCAGTAGCAACATCAATACAGTCAGTAACAGCAGTAACAACATCAGTACAGGCAGTAACAGCAGTAACAACATCAGTACAGTCAGTAACAGCAGTAACAACATCAGTACAGTCAGTAACAGCAGTAGCAACATCAGTACAGTCAGTAACAGCAGTAACAACATCAGTACAGGCAGTAACAGCAGTAACAACATCAGTACAGGCAGTAACAGCAGTAACAACATCACTACAGGCAGTAACAGCAGTAACAACATCAGTACAGTCAGTAACAGCAGTAACAACATCAGTACAGTCAGTAACAGCAGTAACAACATCAGTACAGTCAGTAACAGCAGTAACAACATCAGTACAGTCAGTAACAGCAGTAACAACATCAGTACAGTCAGTAACAGCAGTAACAACATCAGTACAGGCAGTAACAGCAGTAGCAACATCACTACAGGCAGTAACAGCAGTAGCAACATCAGTACAGGCAGTAACAGCAGTAACATCACTACAGGCAGTAACAGCAGTAACAACATCAGTACAGGCAGTAACAGCAGTAACAACATCAGTACAGGCAGTAACAGCAGTAACAACATCACTACAGGCAGTAACAGCAGTAACAACATCAGTACAGGCAGTAACAGCAGTAGCAACATCAGTACAGTCAGTAACAGCAGTAGCAACATCAGTACAGGCAGTAACAGCAGTAGCAACATCACTACAGTCAGTAACAGCAGTAACAACATCACTACAGTCAGTAACAGCAGTAACAACATCACTACAGTCAGTAACAGCAGTAACAACATCAGTACAGTCAGTAACAGCAGTAGCAACATCAGTACAGGCAGTAACAGCAGTAACAACATCAGTACAGGCAGTAACAGCAGTAGCAACATCACTACAGTCAGTAACAGCAGTAACAACATCAGTACAGGCAGTAACAGCAGTAACAACATCAGTACAGTCAGTAACAGTAGTAACAACATCACTACAGTCAGTAACAGCAGTAACAACATCACTACAGTCAGTAACAGCAGTAACAACATCAGTACAGGCAGTAACAGCAGTAACAACATCAGTACAGTCAGTAACAGCAGTAACAACATCACTACAGTCAGTAACAGCAGTAGCAACATCACTACAGGCAGTAACAGCAGTAGCAACATCACTACAGGCAGTAACAGCAGTAGCAACATCACTACAGTCAGTAACAGCAGTACAACATCACTACAGTCAGTAACAGCAGTAACAACATCACTACAGTCAGTAACAGCAGTAACAACATCAGTACAGTCAGTAACAGCAGTAGCAACATCAGTACAGGCAGTAACAGCAGTAACAACATCAGTACAGGCAGTAACAGCAGTAGCAACATCACTACAGTCAGTAACAGCAGTAACAACATCACTACAGTCAGTAACAGCAGTAACAACATCACTACAGTCAGTAACAGCAGTAACAACATCACTACAGTCAGTAACAGCAGTAACAACACCAGTACAGTCAGTAACAGCAGTAACAACATCAGTACAGTCAGTAACAGCAGTAACAACATCAGTACAGTCAGTAACAGCAGTAACAACATCACTACAGTCAGTAACAGCAGTAACAACATCACTACAGTCAGTAACAGCAGTAACAACATCAGTACAGGCAGTAACAGCAGTAACAACATCACTACAGGCAGTAACAGCAGTAACAACACCAGTACAGGCAGTAACAGCAGTAGCAACATCAGTACAGGCAGTAACAGCAGTAACAACATCACTACAGGCAGTAACAGCAGTAACAACATCAGTACAGTCAGTAACAGCAGTAACAACATCACTACAGTCAGTAACAGCAGTAACAACATCACTACAGTCAGTAACAGCAGTAGCAACATCACTACAGTCAGTAACAGCAGTAACAACATCACTACAGTCAGTAACAGCAGTAACAACATCACTACAGTCAGTAACAGCAGTAGCAACATCAGTACAGGCAGTAACAGCAGTAACAACATCACTACAGGCAGTAACAGCAGTAACAACATCACTACAGGCAGTAACAGCAGTAGCAACATCAGTACAGTCAGTAACAGCAGTAACAACATCAGTACAGGCAGTAACAGCAGTAGCAACATCAGTACAGTCAGTAACAGCAGTAACAACATCAGTACAGGCAGTAACAGCAGTAGCAACTTCAGTACAGGCAGTAACAGCAGTAGCAACATCAGTACAGTCAGTAACAGCAGTAGCAACATCAGTACAGGCAGTAACAGCAGTAGCAACATCAGTACAGGCAGTAACAGCAGTAACAACATCACTACAGTCAGTAACAGCAGTAACAACATCAGTACAGGCAGTAACAGCAGTAACAACATCACTACAGTCAGTAACAGCAGTAACAACATCACTACAGTCAGTAACAGCAGTAACAACATCAGTACAGGCAGTAACAGCAGTAACAACATCAGTACAGGCAGTAACAGCAGTAACAACATCACTACAGTCAGTAACAGCAGTAACAACATCAGTACAGTCAGTAACAGCAGTAACAACATCACTACAGTCAGTAACAGCAGTAGCAACATCAGTACAGGCAGTAACAGCAGTAACAACATCACTACAGGCAGTAACAGCAGTAACAACATCAGTACAGGCAGTAACAGCAGTAGCAACATCAGTACAGGCAGTAACAGCAGTAACAACATCACTACAGTCAGTAACAGCAGTAGCAACATCAGTACAGTCAGTAACAGCAGTAGCAACATCAGTACAGGCAGTAACAGCAGTAACAACATCACTACAGTCAGTAACAGCAGTAACAACATCAGTACAGTCAGTAACAGCAGTAGCAACATCAGTACAGTCAGTAACAGCAGTAGCAACATCAGTACAGGCAATAACAGCAGTAACAACATCACTACAGTCAGTAACAGCAGTAGCAACATCAGTACAGTCAGTAACAGCAGTAGCAACATCAGTACAGGCAGTAACAGCAGTAGCAACATCAGTACAGGCAGTAACAGCAGTAACAACATCAGTACAGGCAGTAACAGCAGTAACAACATCAGTACAGTCAGTAACAGCAGTAGCAACATCAGTACAGTCAGTAACAGCAGTAGCAACATCAGTACAGTCAGTAACAGCAGTAACAACATCAGTACAGTCAGTAACAGCAGTAACAACATCACTACAGTCAGTAACAGCAGTAACATCAGTACAGCGTAACAGCAGTACAACATCAGTACAGGCAGTAACAGCAGTAACAACATCAGTACAGGCAGTAACAGCAGTAACAACATCAGTACAGTCAGTAACAGCAGTAGCAACATCAGTACAGGCAGTAACAGCAGTAACAACATCAGTACAGTCAGTAACAGCAGTAACAACATCAGTACAGGCAGTAACAGCAGTAACAACATCAGTACAGTCAGTAACAGCAGTAACAACATCACTACAGTCAGTAACAGCAGTAACAACATCACTACAGTCAGTAACAGCAGTAACAACATCAGTACAGGCAGTAACAGCAGTAACAACATCAGTACAGTCAGTAACAGCAGTAACAACATCAGTACAGGCAGTAACAGCAGTAACAACATCAGTACAGGCAGTAACAGTAACAATCACTACAGTCAGTAACAGCAGTAGCAACATCAGTACAGGCAGTAACAGCAGTAACAACATCACTACAGTCAGTAACAGCAGTAGCAACATCAGTACAGGCAGTAACAGCAGTAACAACATCACTACAGGCAGTAACAGCAGTAACAACATCAGTACAGTCAGTAACAGCAGTAACAACATCAGTACAGTCAGTAACAGCAGTAGCAACATCAGTACAGGCAGTAACAGCAGTAACAACATCACTACAGTCAGTAACAGCAGTAGCAACATCAGTACAGGCAGTAACAGCAGTAACAACATCAGTACAGTCAGTAACAGCAGTAACAACATCAGTACAGTCAGTAACAGCAGTAACAACATCAGTACAGTCAGTAACAGCAGTAGCAACATCAGTACAGTCAGTAACAGCAGTAGCAACATCAGTACAGTCAGTAACAGCAGTAGCAACATCAGTACAGTCAGTAACAGCAGTAGCAACATCAGTACAGTCAGTAACAGCAGTAACAACATCAGTACAGGCAGTAACAGCAGTAACAACATCAGTACAGTCAGTAACAGCAGTAACAACATCAGTACAGGCAGTAACAGCAGTAACAACATCACTACAGGCAGTAACAGCAGAAACAACATCAGTACAGGCAGTAGCAGCAGTAGCAACATCACTACAGGCAGTAACAGCAGTAACAACATCAGTACAGGCAGTAACAGCAGTAACAACATCAGTACAGGCAGTAACAGCAGTAACAACATCAGTACAGTCAGTAACAGCAGTAACAACATCACTACAGGCAGTAACAGCAGTAACAACATCAGTACAGTCAGTAACAGCAGTAACAACATCAGTACAGGCAGTAACAGCAGTAACAACATCAGTACAGTCAGTAACAGCAGTAGCAACATCAGTACAGGCAGTAGCAGCAGTAGCAACATCACTACAGGCAGTAGCAGCAGTAGGAACATCACTACAGGCAGTAGCAGCAGTAGCAACATCACTACAGGCAGTAGCAGCAGTAACAACATCACTACAGGCAGTAGCAGCAGTAGCAACATCAGTACGGGCAGTAACAGCAGTAAGAACATCACTACAGGCAGTAACAGCAGTAGCAACATCAGTACAGGCAGTAACAGCAGTAGCAACATCAGTACAGGCAGTAACAGCAGTAAGAACATCACTACAGGCAGTAACAGCAGTAGCAACATCAGTACAGGCAGTAAGAGCAGTAACAACATCAGTACAGTCAGTAACAGCAGTAGCAACATCAGTACAGGCAGTAAGAGCAGTAACAACATCAGTACAGTCAGTAACAGCAGTAACAACATCAGTACAGGCAGTAACAGCAGTAACAACATCAGTACAGTCAGTAACAGCAGTAACAACATCAGTACAGTCAGTAACAGCAGTAGCAACATCAGTACAGGCAGTAACAGCAGTAGCAACATCAGTACAGGCAGTAAGAGCAGTAACAACATCAGTACAGGCAGTAACAGCAGTAACAACATCAGTACAGGCAGTAACAGCAGTAGCAACATCAGTACAGGCAGTAACAGCAGTAACAACATCAGTACAGGCAGTAACAGCAGTAACAACATCAGTACAGGCAGTAACAGCAGTAACAACATCAGTACAGTCAGTAACAGCAGTAACAACATCAGTACAGGCAGTAACAAGCAGTAACACATCAGTACAGTCAGTAACAGCAGTAACAACATCACTACAGGCAGTACAGCAGTAACAACATCAGTACAGCAGTAACGCAGCATCACAGCCAGTAAACACATACATCAGTCTACACAGTGCAGTAACAGCAGTAACAACATCAGTACAGGCAGTAACAGCAGTACAACATCAGTACAGGCAGTAACAGCAGTAACAACATCAGTACAGGCAGTAAGCAGCAGTAGCAACATCACTACAGGCAGTAACAGCAGTACAACATCAGTACAGGCAGTAACAGCAGTAAAACATCACTACAGGCAGTAACAGCAGTAGCAACATCAGTACAGGCAGTAACAGCAGTAACAACATCACTACAGGCAGTAACAGCAGTAGCAACATCAGTACAGGCAGTAACAGCAGTAACAACATCACTACAGGCAGTAACAGCAGTAGCAACATCAGTACAGGCAGTAACAGCAGTAAGCAACATCAGTACAGGCAGTAACAGCAGTAGCAACATCAGTACAGGCAGTAACAGCAGTAGCAACATCAGTACAGGCAGTAACAGCAGTAACAACATCAGTACAGGCAGTAACAGCAGTAGCAACATCAGTACAGGCAGTAACAGCAGTAACAACATCAGTACAGGCAGTACAGCAGTGCAACATCATACAGGCAGTAACAGCAGTAGCAACATCAGTACAGGCAGTAACAGCAGTAGCAACATCAGTACAGGCAGTAGCAGCAGTAGCAACATCACTACAGGCAGTAACAGCAGTAGCAACATCAGTACAGGCAGTAGCAGCAGTAGCAACATCAGTACAGGCAGTAACAGCAGTAGCAACATCATACAGGCAGTACAGCAGTAGCAACATCAGTACAGGCAGTAGCAGCAGTAGCAACATCAGTACAGGCAGTAACAGCAGTAGCAACATCAGTACAGGCAGTAACAGCAGTAGCAACATCACTACAGGCAGTAACAGCAGTAGCAACATCAGTACAGGCAGTAACAGCAGTAGCAACATCACTACAGGCAGTAACAGCAGTAGCAACATCACTACAGGCAGTAGCAGCAGTAGCAACATCAGTACAGGCAGTAACAGCAGTAGCAACATCAGTACAGGCAGTAACAGCAGTAGCAAATCATACAGGCAGTACGCAGTAGCAAATCAGTACAGGCAGTAAGCATACACATCACTACAGGCAGTAGCAGCAGTAGCAACATCAGTACAGGCAGTAGCAGCAGTAGCAACATCAGTACAGGCAGTAACAGCAGTAGCAACATCACTACAGGCAGTAACAGCAGTAGCAACATCACTACAGGCAGTAACAGCAGTAGCAACATCAGTACAGGCAGTAACAGCAGTAGCAACATCAGTACAGGCAGTAACAACAGTAACAACATCAGTACAGGCAGTAGCAGCAGTAACAACATCACTACAGGCAGTAACAACAGTAAAAATTTGACGCATTATACTTTACTGTTCACATTCATACCGGTAAGACGTAGATATCAGGTAATGTACTTAATCCATGTATTCCTCTTTCAGAACTACAGACACAACAACTATGCCATGAAGAAGATAATCACCGGTTACTAAAAATAACAGATTAAGCATATAGGATATTAGTAGCAGTAGTAATAGTAACAGTAGTAAAATCAGTGATAACAGCAGTAGCAGCAACATTGTCTATAGTAACACAGTGTGCCATATTACAAATAAATCTAAACTTAGAGCAAACATACAGAAGGAGATGGAAATAAATGGTATAAAATACCGACACAATGAAATTAAACACAGTATGCAGTATAATGTATCCTTATTGACTTACGTTTCGCCACACAGTGGGCTTTTTACAAGTCACAAACAGATCTGTTTGTGACTTGAAAAAGCCCACTGTGTGGGCGAAACGTAGTCAATAAAGGATCACATTATACTGCATATGTGTTTATATTTTCAGAAGGGAGATAACACCGATTAGAGACAGACAGCTATGTAAACTGCTATCTAGATAGACAGCATGTACTAGTCAGTTGTATTGAGTTTGCTCGGGACCATTCACATGTGCTTAATATAATCTCATGAAATATCATTTGCGGATGACAGCTTAGAATTCTAAAGCTGTCGTAATTTCACCTTACCAGCCAAAAAATATCCCAGGCTTATGACTCGCTTTCTCCAGTCAACCAAAATTCTCAATTACAAAATACCACTCGCGGAAAATCACTTTGGCTTCAATTAAGACCAAATTTAGAATTCCATTTTGTCTCCCCAGTCCTCTGTTGAAATAACAGAAACAATATGCAAACAAATAACAGTATTGGTGGTCACTATCATCAATATAGGATTGTAGATGGAGGTTTTTTTCTTTCAAAATTCTTCAAGATTTTCCCGCAGCTTAACTTTGCACTGTGGTTCTTAGACCGGAAAAAAACGCTAAGCGGTGCACGACATTTCTGTATACTATACTGTATACTATGTACTGTACTATACTGTACTATACTATACTATACTATACTGTATACTATTGTATATGTGATTCTTTTTAAATTGTTCACTCTGGTGTTGCGTTGCGTGGCAACACAATGTAAGATCGTTGTGATCGATTGGTAGCGCACTCAGCTCACATACTGAGGTCCGAGGGTCGATCCCCAGTTCAGGTGGAAATATTAAGACGTGTTTCCTTAAAACACCTGCTGTCCATGTTCACCTATCAGTAAAATAGGTACCTGGGTGTTAGTCGACTGGTGTGGGTCGCATCCTGGGACAAAACTGACCTAATTTGCCCGAAATGCTCTGCATAACAAGCAGCTTTCTAGCCACTAATGTTAGTTAGGCTTGTATACCTTGTACATGTACTTGTAGAATATTAGTATATTATTATTATTATTATTATTATTATTATTATTATTATTATTATTATTATTAATTATTATTATTATGAGGTAATTTCTTTATGCTCCCACAGCTTCGTGATGAACCCGCTGGCGCCGGTGCAGGAGACGCTGTGTTTGCTGCAGAACGAGACTATGGCCTCTAATCCTTCGTCAGATCCCCAACGAGCAGTCTCTCTCTACTACATGGTCAAGCTCTCCGTCAGGAGCTGTAAGTACCTGAGGACCTTTCTGTCGTGGTGGTGATTATTACATATCCCCTGAACGGATACCTGAGGACCTTTCTGTTGGGGTGGTGGTTATTAGGTATCCCCTGAAGGGATACTTATTGTGGTTGCTAGAGTTCTTTTTCTTCCTATAATTATTCCTGCTGTGTCTTGTTTAGTCAACATTTCTGCTTGTTGATGTACTGTGTAGATCCTAATTTGGAAATTGTTATTCTCAGTTTTGTGTGGCTGTCTTTCTGGCGCAATAAACTAGTAATGCCTCTCCTGGCTGACTTGAAACTAGCAGTGATGCTTCTAGCTGAGAGGAACATAGTTTTAGCTTGTTTTGGCTCAAATTTGTCACTTTCATAATGGAATTAATGCAGTAGGAATTATTGGTTTCCATGTGATGACTAGATAATGGCTCTTCCGATCGACTTCAAACTTTCAGTGCCGATGTGTTTTCCCCTGAAAGGAAAATTTGTATTATTAGTGAGCTCTGTTACGTCCCACTTTGCCAATTTATTAAATTTGGGTATTGTTTTTAGGCCAGCAGCTGGAGAATCTCTCTTTTGGTCGGCTTCAAACTCTCAACACTGTGTAGTACGTAATGGAAGAATCAAATTCTTTTTGGCAACACATATTTCAATTCGTCAAGTGTATTAGATTAAATATTACCGTATTTTCTGGCATATAAGGCGCGCCTTTTTTCCCACAAGTCTTGGAAAATCATCCTGCGCCTTATATGCTCAAGGTTACGCTTTAGCGTTAAGTAATAGGTAATTAACCCTTGATTATGATTACTGATTTTCAGTTATGATGCGTCTGTCGTGCGCCTTATATGACGGAAAATAAGGTAATTACCGGTTAATAAAGAACAAAAACTCACAATACCGTGACCAGAAAAAATACACAAATAACGAGCATATAGGAGACCGAAACTTACGGCGATGTTTCGGTCCGACTTGGACCATTAACTAGTGACACAGAGAAATGCACTTCTCTGTATCACTAGTTAATGATCCAAGTCGGACCGGAACATCGTCGTAAGTTCCAACTTGTGTGTGCTGGTTATTAGTACACTTAAGAATGCTTCTTCGTATCAGCTTCAAACTCGCGTTACTGTCGTATCTTCCCTGAAGAAAGATTTCCATTTGGACTGACCTTCATAAGTGCCAATTTGCAGCTTTTAATAAATAATGGAGGGAAGCTGGTACCATACTTACCCTTCTGCAGCACTGTGGTATTGGGGAGTCAAGATGACAAAATGTAAGCAAAGCCTGATAATTTATAATCCAGTAAATAACAAGTTAGATAAGGTAAGGTCAGGTTAGATAAGGCCAGGTTAGGTTTTAAGGTACGGTTAAGGTTAGGTTAGGCTAAGGTTAGGTTACACAAATAACCCGCACGTAGAAGAGAGGAGCTTACGACGACATTTCAGTCCGACTTGGACCATTTACAAAGTCACACTAACCAGAAGTGGAGCAGGACGGCTATATATAGGCAGGAAGAGGTAGTGGTGGTAGCAGTAGTAGTAGTAGTAGTAGTAGTAGTAGTAGTAGTAGTAGTAGTAGTAGTAGTGTTAGTGGTGGTAGTAGTGGGGAATTAAGGAGGAGGAGCCAGTCAAATACAAAGAAAGGGGAGCACTGCAAGGGAGCTAGGTGGCCACAGAGGGAGAGCAAGTGCACAGAGGTGGAGGGAAGGGAAGTGATGAAATAAATAATGAAGGTATAAGAAACGACACGACGAAGAAAGAAAGACAAAAGCTCCTCTCTTCTATTGCGGTTATTTTGTATGTTCAGTACTAGGGTATTGTGCTTCTTTAGTTATGTTAAGGTAGGTAGGTAGGTTAGGTTAGGAGGTAGGAGGCTTAAGGTAAAGAAAGGGGCAGACTGCTAAGTGGCCTCTGACCACGTACGAAGATGCATCCACCGGCAGTCGTATGATAGGGGAGGCTGACTGAAATAAATGAAGGATAACGGAAACAACACGTAATACCAAAAGCTACCCTTACAAGGTTCGGTAATTGTCTATCATTCTTTGATATTGTCCTCTGGTTTGACTTAGGATTAGCTTATGTTTCACTGTTTTCAGTTAGAATGTTTTAGATTGTTAACGTAAGTAGGTGTATGATTACATGTCTAGTTGCTTAATACTTCCTGTTAGAAACTACTTCTCCTGGCCGCTTGACTAGCCGGCCTCGCTGTCCTGGCTTAGGGATTGGGAAAATCCTTTTCATTACCAGCTTAGCTCTCACTGCCTGCTTCTCGTTCGACTTTGCTTGAGCTTCCTGGTCCGAGGCGTTCGAATTACCCTTAGTGTTTCTCTGTATTTCTTCCATCAATGTTTTGATTGTCTGGAATGAGACGATAATGTTAATATCAACATTGACAATGATCATCGCTACTTCTTCGTTCTGAGGAAATAGTTGCGTCAGCAGGTAGCGAAAGGCGAGAATAGTGTGGGATGTGGATATTACCCTCAGGGTCCTAGCCACAAAGGACCTAATTAGTAACTCGTAAAGCACTTCCGAGATCCATTATTCGGCCCTGAAAAACTAACAGGAACTTTATTAGTCTTTAAAAGTCCAGTTATTATTATTATCGTTATGTATGATAGGTGGTAAACCCATGTTGGTCATTCAGCTCATGGTTTGGTAAAAGGATTATCTACTAATAGCGGCGGTCTTTGACTAGTGACTAGTCCTGGCTCAGTCTTTGACTAGCCAGGCTCAGCTGTCCTGCTAATGGAATTAACGGGAAAAATCCTCTCATTACCAAGCTTAGTACCCTACAAGGCTTCCTCTACAAGCTCTACTCAGTTCTTTGAAGCTTCCCTGGTTCCTGACTAGCGAAGTTACCCTCTATTTTTATTTCCTCGTTCCAGTTTTCATCACCTGACATCCTGCTGGGAAAATTACAATGGGACTGTCGTAACTTGTGAGGCAAACCCTGAGTCCAAGAGTATTTCTTTTTAAAACGGAAGCCGTGAACAGTGGATGAATGTGCTTAATGCACAGGAAACGTTTCGAATGGCTTCTTAAGATTCTAATGGAAGAAGAAACGTCTCTTTTCGATAAATGTTCTGAGCTGTAAACAAGTATCTGTTTTCAGATGTTCCTGGTGTCGCCATTCTATTTACGACTTGATGTCACAAACATTATGATAAGAACATAAGAGGAACACTGCAGCAGGCCAACTGGCCCATATAAGGCAGGTGCTACTCAAAACCAACCATTCCCACCCACACATATAAGAGCATAAGAACGTAAGAATGAAGGAACACTTAAGTAGGCCACGATGCATGGATCTTGACTAAAAAATACAAAAAACATTTGGTTGCAGCCGATGACTGCAACAGCAGCAGTTTGGTGCTGTTGGTGACTACCAATAGAGTGGGCTAGGGTGACGATGGTAGTTGCCACCACCAGCAGACTGTGACGAGAGAGAGACAAACACATACACGCAGCTGCTGCAGGAAGGTTAATGAGCTTGACAGACGTCCAAGTCTTTGTTTGGAAGGCTCTCTGAGAGGGCTAGAGGGCGTCTTTGAGAGAACCGGGTGACTTATGATGCAACGTAACTCGAAAATACACATCAATTGCATTACACAAATAACCCGCACATAAAAGAGAGAAGCTTACGACGACGTTTCGGTCCGACTTGGACCATTGACAAAGTCACACTAACCAGAGGAGCAGCAGGACGATGGTAGTAGTAGTACAAGAGTTGTATATAATACCGACAAGATTAAATTAAGACACATGCACAACACCCGGGCATCCCCATCACAGACGTTTCGCCATCCAGCCAGCCACTGGATGGCGAAACGTCCACAACAAAGACAACCAGACGCCGCACATGTGTCTTAATTTCATCAGTAGTTGTAGTAGTAGTAGAAGAAGAAGAGGTAGTAGTAGTGGTAGTGGTAGAAGCGGGAAATAAAAAGGACGAGCCAGTCAAATACAAAGGAAGGGGAGCACTGCAAGAGAGCTAGATGCCCACAGAGGGAGAGCAAGCGCACAGAGGTGCGTGAAATGGAAGTGGTGAAATAAATGAAGAAGGAACAGAAACACGAGACAGGAAAGAGAAAGACAACCCAGAGGAGAAAAGGAAAGAGGAAAGGGGAAGAGGAAGAAGAAAAAGAAAAAGAAAAAATGAGGATTCAGGTTAAGTCACGGGTGTTCTGAAGATTGGAGCATTTTACAATGTAGTGGGAGAGGAAGGCATCTACAGAGACGAAGCCAGGGCTAAGGTTCATACAAGGAAAGTTGTGTATTAGAGAGGATTCAACTAGACGGCGACTGTTCGAGATGGAAGTAGGGAAGACAGTTTTAGCAGAAGACCAGTCAATAGGATGGCTATGATCTCTGACGTGACAGAAAAGAGCATAGTTAGTGTCGGCAAGCCTAACACTATTTTTGTGCTCCCTAAGTCTGTCAGAAAGAGATCGACCAGTTTCTCCGAAGTATTGAAGAGGACAGGAGGAGCAAGAAATAGAGTAGACACCAGGAACATCTGTAGAGGGAGGAGAGGTATGAACGAGATTAGTGCGAAGAGTGTTAGTCTGGCGGAAGGTAAGCTTGATGTCTAAGGGACGGAGAGAATTGTTGAGATTAGAAAGACCGGAAATGTAGGGAAGGCAGAGGATAGAAGAGTTCTCATGAGTAGAGAGTTTGGGGAAAGAAATTGCGTTTAGCACGTGAGAGGGCAGAGTCTATGAAATGGGAAGGGTAGCCAAGACGGGAGAACGAATTATGAAGAGTGGAAATTTCTGCTGGAAGGAACTGAGGATCACAGATGCGGAGGGCACGGAGAAAGAGGGAGATAAGAACACTTTTCTTGACAGGGGAAGCATGATAGGAAAAGTAGTGAATGTACATGCCACTGTGCATAGGTTTACGGTAAACGGAAAAGGAAAAACCTGTATCTGCGGGTTATTTGTGTATCGTTCTAGTCACGGTATTGTGCCTTTTTTGTTATAAATCAATTGCTAAACTTTGAAA